GAGAGAGAGAGAGAGAGAGAGCTCAAAAGACACATGATCGTGATCATGAACATAGCGGTATCGTTATCGTGGAAACTTCAAAACACTGAATAATTATAATAAAAATAAATAATAATTTGTTACATTTATATAGCGCTTTTCTCAGCACTCAAAGCGCTTTACATGGAAGGAAGATCTCCTCAACCACCACCAGTGTGCAGCTCCTCCTGGATGATGCGACGGCAGCCATACTGCGCCAGATCGCCCACACACACACACACACACACAGGCTTACTGGTGGAGAGGAGACATTTTTAAGACTGTCTTTTTGGGCTCGTCACCGTCTAACATTACACTCTAACACACTGTATGTCTTGGCTGCTTAATGCGAGTTGTTCGATGACTTCGCAGTGTTTATCAGTCCTGGGGGAAACATCTAGATCCCGGATATAATACGACCCCATCTTTTCAGGTGTACTTCCAAGACAAAAACATCGTCTTATATTCTGAACAATACGGTAATAATTCCTTATTATGAATTTTTAGATTTTTAGAATGAAGCATTTTAGGAATATTTTTCTATCAGCCGGTTAACTTATTCTTTGTAGTTCTTTTGCACTTTAATCTGTTTGAAACATTTGCTATACATTTTTGTGTTTTGTCCTATTGTATTTATATATGTGTAAAGCGCTTTATAAATAAAGCCGACTTGACTTGCTCAGATGTTCAGAATCAAAGGTCTTTTTGTTATATGAAAATAGTTACTAAACCTGTTAGGAGGACAGCAAACAAGTCCTCCGTAATAAAAGCTTCAGTAATTATTGTGATATGAAAATGAATACCGTCACACACCTACTCCTCAGAAAACAAACAGGCATCAAAGGGTGTGTGTGTGTGTGTGTGTGTGTGCGAGTGAGTGTATGTGTGTGTGTGTGTGTGTGCACACTTACATTCTGTGACGAAGAAATTGTGATAACGACGGTTATTACTGGTTGTTATGCATTTTTGTGTATAGTTCTATTGTATTTATAAAAGTGTATAAAGCACTATATAAATAAAGGTGACTTGACTTGTTTTTAAATGTTCAGACTCAAAGGTGTGTGTGTGTTCACTTACATTCTGTGACGAAGAAGTTGATCATGGTGATAACGACGGTGTGTCCGCTGAACATGTAATCTCCACACGTCTGGACTCCAGTGAGGGTCATGCCAAACCCACTCCATATGGCCACCGCACGCTGAAGCTTCGCCCACATGTCCCCGTATATCTGACACACACACAAAGAGATAGAGATAGATATATATATATATAGAGAGACAGAGAGAGAGATAGAGAGGAATAAATACATACGGAAAGAATCATACTAATACAGAGATTTGGGGAAATTATTTCATTTTCAATTGAGTTTGCAGTTTATTTTAAGCCCCTTGTTAGTGTAATTATACATGTACTTATTATAGGGTTGGGCTTTGGTTTAGGGTTAGTTGCATGTAATTATGCATAATTGATGTTATTACTACAGTAAGTATATATGTAACAAGGACACTAAAGATTAAGTGTTTCAGACAATCAGAAAATTGTACAGTATTTTAACATTATGGCAATTGTTGTTGTTTTGGTGCGGTTTAATGCTTATTTTTGATGTCATTAGAATAAAAATGATAATAACGGAGGAAAAAAAATGTGTTATGTCACATTTCTAATGCAAAAACAATTCTTTATATATATATATATATATGTATATTCACGCAAACAAAAGGGTCAACTTTGAGTCTTAAACACAGTATTACTTACCATTTTTATTCTATATGGAAAGTAATACGGCCAAAATAGAATCTGCAGTATAAAATTGTATATTTAAGTATTGCAAATAATTTGCAACTTGCAATATTTGCAGTTTGCAAAGTTTTTTTTTTTATCTACACATGCACCAATGCCATATATTTCCATATATTGTAAACAACTGGTAATGATTACTTCAATGAGCTCAGTGTTTCTGCCTTAAATGAACACATTGTTAGCGAACTGCATGATTGGTAAATGTACATTGCAGAAATACCTCTAATAGCACATCATCTATCAATCGTAATGTAGACGAAAGCCTTTTCGGTAAAGCTGCTTTGAAACGTCACAATTCACATTTATGCATTTGGTAGGTGCTTCCATCCAAAGTGATTTACGTAGCATTCAAGAAACACACACATCTAATCATATACATGCACACAATGACTGGGAGTTGAACCCATGACCTCAGCGCTGATGGAAAGCTAATAATTAATGAAATCATAAAGTGTCTGTACCTTCCCAGTGCACTGCAGGTGTTGACCCGGTACAGAGAGAGACGTCACAAACATAGTGACGCAGCGCAGCATAAAGACCGTCCCCATCAGACTACACAAGCGCCTCAACAGGATCGACCTGAAACAAACACACACGTGAACGTGGGTCAGGGATAACAGTCGTTCTCTGGCTGCGTTTACATGGACCCTTATAATGGGATTGACGGCTCGATCGGACTGAAAATGTTTCATGTAAACACCTTAATCGATCTGACTGAGCTCGATCCGATTGAAAGCGGTGTTTATTCCTTTTGTAATCCGATCGAGAGAACATGTAAACACTTGATCAGATTGAAAACCGAAACTGAAAGGACTGCGCATGTGCACTGACGTAGACACAGCGTAATGACGTATGACGAGCTGATGTTCCTGTCGAATAAAGTGTCATATAAACGAGTGTCCCGTCATTCTATAATCCTCCTTTCCCTGCGTGTGTGAAGTGGAGCAGGACGACGGCCCACCAGTGCTGGTTTCAGACTCTCGTCCACACACGACTGGTTTTTTTGGGTATTTTTACTGTGTGAGGAATATAAGCAGCGGCACAACGGTTCATACACTCATCGTCTCCAAATCATGACCAGAGACAGATAAATATTAAAGGGGTCATGAACTGGATTTTTAAATTGTTTTATATTGTTGTCCGAGGTCAACTTATGACGTTCGCTTGGTTTTAACATTCAAAAACATCAAAATGAATAAGTAATAGGCTATTTTCGACCCTAGTTTTGAGCCTAGCTCAAAAACGCTCGGTTTTTATGGGCGTCTCGCATTGAAGACTTGGAAGTAAACGCCCACTGCTGTGAGTGGATAACAGTTTTGCATATTATAATGAGTTTCGTGTAATGCGCGAATCGGTGGGCGGGGCTAAACCGGCCGTGTTGAAGTAGGCGTTGATCATCTTCTGCGGGGGTGGTGTTTTATCCTCTTTGTCGTCATAGTTCCCCACTTTGAAAAACGAGTCGTTTGCTGAGGCTGGTGTCAATAAAAGCTTTTATTGGACTAACAAGGACGTTTTCAGTTCTGAAATTTACAGGATATTCTTATAATTTGATGACCTCTTAGATGTCAAAAGCTTGATTTCTCAGTTCATCACCCCTTTAAGTCTGCTGTTTAAAACAAATAAAGAACCAATGTAGGAGAAAAATAGCGGGAAACTGTATATTCAGCGCATGTCAAAAAATCAATTCCGATTTGAAGCTTTTGACGTATAAACGCACACGTCAACCCGATCACTTCATTAGTGTTCATGTAAACACTACGCTCGGATTGATTTCATTCCGACTGAACCAAAAGGTGTCCGTGTAAACGTCATGATTCAAGAGAAATGAGCTCAAGTCTCTAAAACGGACTTTCTCAAAACACAACATTTATTGTGTACAATTCCTCGGTGCATATTATTCTACAGGAGACAATGTACCGAAACATAACGACTTGTTCCAATTCTTTATTTGGACCCAAAACCCCACATACTTGAAATTAAAATTATTTTATGATGCCTGACAATTGTCTAAGACGTAGACAATCACACAGCGTACACTAGTGATGGGAGAAATTAAGATTTTAGAATAAACTGAACCAATGCTTCGCAAAATGATTCACTGATTCACATAAAATGATTTTGAAGCGCTTGAAACGCCACAAGCTGGTCAGAACAGTGTAAATGCAGGGAAAACATGCCTAAAAACACCTTTTTTTAAAGTGTAATAAATTAAATGCAATCACCAAATAATTTAATACCATTAACTTTGAAGTGTCTTTATAATATGTATTATTTTATTAAATTGTTTAGGTTAATAAGCCCAACAAGAGACCGAAATGTGTCATTAAAATATCTACACGTTTATAAAACTTAAACCATATAGACACTGGTTCATGGGTTCATGAGCCTCGGTTACTGAAATCATGTGACTTTGGCAGAATCACTGGTTTGAAACAAATTATTCGTGAAGGTTTTGAAAACGCCCATCACTAGCGTGTGCATTTTAACCTGGATTACAAGAAAGTATTTATGCAAATATGTGTGTTACCTGTGTTTATGTAGCAGCAGAACTAGCAGCCAAATAGAGCAGAGGATCACGCCACAGGCCTCAGCCATCGCAAAAGCCCAGGGGATTCTGGGTACACTGTAGGGAGAAGAGAACCAGGCGAAAGGTCAGAAAGAGAAAACACAAACCCTCTTCCAAACAGATGCTATTTTGTGTTTTCATGCCCATCTTCAGCTGTGTCCTCTAACCATCTCCTGTGGTGTATGAAAGTTATCATCAACAGGAAACCACAAACCTTAAAGTCTAACAGGTACAACTCAAAATAAGAGCCGTTACGGTTATTTTTCCTGCCATAAACCTCAATCATCATCAGCCAGCGGAAGAAATCAAACATCAAATGAGTGTCACAGGTTCACAGGATCTCAGTTCAACAACTATATTTCTTAGTCTCAACATTAATGCATTTCCCCTGAATTAGCTTAAAAAGGGGATTTAGATGCAATTGTAGCAGAACACGGTTCTCTGATGACAGTTAATGGTGGTCGTGCCTTATAACGACGCTTAGCTCACGTTTTTGGGGGGTTTATTGCTTTAATGACGATCCGGATAAAGTTAATTTTACATTTGTATGATTTAATAAACGATTCGCTTTTCATCCACTCACGAACCCCCTGCAGTTTGGGAATCACAGAATCAGACGAACAGCCTCTGTCTTTAAGTAGATTCAAAATATTTTATGCAATAATTTAAATATAGTTAGAGCAGAATTTTCCCAGAAGCATCGTGAGCTTCAGCTGATCATAGAGAACAGTGAACGCAGCTCTGAAACTTATGCATGTTATACAAATATAGATATACGCAAATAAACGATTTTATTAAATGATCAAAACCAAGTGCATTTTTTTTATTCGAGCTGGCAAATCATGTTTTTTGCAGTGCATTTAGAGATTCAAACTTGCTTGCCTTACAATCTAGGGATAATTATATTGCCTACATTTTAGAACATGCTTTGCATGAATGTCTTAAAATGGTTCATACGTCCATATGATGCACATTATTATGGAAGCTTGTTTCCGCCACTGAATAAAAAAATAAATACAAATAATTGCGACTTTTTATCTCACAATTGCGAGATATGAAGTCAGAATTGTGAGAAATAAAGTTGCAATTGCGAGATATAAAGTCGCAATTATGAGAAATAAAGTCGCAATTGCGAGAAAAAAAGACAGAATTGCGACTTTTTATCTCACAATTCTGACTTTATAACACATAATTGCGAGTTTACATCTTGCAATTCTGACTTTATAACACATAATTGCGAGTTTTATCTCGAAATTCTGACATCTTTTCTCAGAATTGTGAGATATAAACTCGCAATTGCGAGTTATCAGGCCAATTCTAAGGGGAAAAAAAAGACTAACTTTTCAGAATAGTTTATATCTCTCAATTCTGACTTTATATCTTATATCTTGCAATTCTGACTTTATATCACGCAATTCTGACTTTATATCTCGCAATTCTGAGAAATAAAGTCAGAATTGTGAGATAAAAAGTCGCAATTACCTTTTTTATTTTTCATTCTGTGGCGGAAACAAGCTTCCATACTTTGTTGACAAAAATGCTAGCTTAAATCAATTACTACAATGTGATTGGCTGGCTTTATGCAACTTTAAAATTCATTTAAGTATCCTAGGAACAAAAATCTATCATGGTTTCCAAAAAATTATTAAGCAATGTTTTCAACATTGATAATAATATTTCTTGAGCATCAAATCATCATATTAGAATGATTTCTGAAGGATCATGTGACACTTAAAAAAATGGAGCAATGATACTGAAAGTTAAGCTTTGATCGCTGTAATAAATTACAGTTTACTATACACTAACATAAAAAGCACTTATTTTAAATAGTAATAATATTTCACAATATTACTGATTTTACTGTATTTTTTATCAAATAAATGCAGCCTTGGTGAGCAGAAGAGACGAACGCTTATCGACTGCAAACTTTTGCCTGTTAGTGATGGCAGGAGTCCATGTGTTATAGACACAAGTCTATTAAATGACTAATAACTAACTAAAACTGTGGCATTAAAGCCACAGGCTTCACACCAGCACACACTCGCCTGTCCAGGAAGATGTCGGGCAGCGGCGGGTACATTCTCATGTCCGGCACTCGCTCGTGGACGATCACCATGACAAACGACGTGAAGCCGAAGACGAAGACCACGTAGACGGAGCTGAGGATGGTTTTCCAGCACTCCGGGTCCAGTCTCCGCGGCTGCTGCTTGTATTTGCCGTTGTTGTACTGGTGATAATGGTCGCCGTTCATCGTGTCCAGAACGGCATCGCAATCCCGCGCAGAATCACCGTTACACAACCAGTCCACTCCACCTGAACAACACCGAATACACAAACTATACCTGTATCAGACTTTACTTGGCATATTTCAAATAGGAAAATAGTACACAGGATATTTAAATATCAAAGACACGCCCATTTTTATGCTAATTTTGTGGTTTAATTTTTAGGCATGCTCTCTAACGCTAACAAATCAGACCTCAGAAACTGCCGCAAATGCCACATTAACCAATCAGAAAAAAAACAAATATATTTTTTAAAGTGAGGGCGATCATCATTTTCTTGATTGAGTGCTCGATCCCTATTTCTGACGTCACAAACGACCTTGTAACCAATAAGGTCAACGTGTGATCGTCAACGAGTGGATCTCTCAGCTGAGTGAATGAGTGGAGGCGGGGCTCATTTGCATATTCATAGAACCGTGAATACTAAATGAGGCAAGGGTGTCGAGTTACATTCAAGCTATTTTAAGGCATGATGACATTTTTTCAAGGGAAAAAACATTTAAATGTCATTTTGGTGAGTTTTAAGGGATAAAATTATTGACTACAGGGGACTTTAAATTAGTGCGGTGCACAGTAAATGTAAACGCCTCACCATTACTCTGCCTGAACAACAAAAAACACACAAATAGCTCAAATCTAGACAGGATCATAATCAGAAGCAGCACCTGCACTGTTCTGGGGCGAGTGTCCGTCGTACGACAGCCCGAGCTCCTCCAACACGTCAGCGTTTTGCTTCTGAAGCTTCCTGAGAGAAACCATCAGCCGTTTAATGTCTCCCAGGACCTTGAGCTCCAGCGGAGGAGAGCGCAGGTCGTACTCGCTCAGGCTCATCAGGCTGGTGCCGTCCAGGCGGTGTTTGTTGCACAGCAGGTCCACGTAATCGCAGAAACCCTCTTCACGCAGCCAGCGGCCCACGTGCTTCGGCGTCCAGTGCCGAACGCTGATCTGCCCGCCGTTCCCGGCCATCTCTCGCTCACGCATGCTCACCGACACTGGACAACACAGAAACAGCTGTTTTTAAAGTCATGTCAGTAACAAGGTGATTCATGATAGTCAGTAACAAACACATTTGTGACCACAAAACCAGTCACAAGGGTCAACTTTTGATGCATCACATGAAAGCTGAATAAATAAGCTTTCCATTGATGTATGGTTTGTTAGGATGGGACAATATTTGGCTGAATACAACTATTTGAAAATCTGGAATCTGAGGGTGCAAAAAAATCTAAACATTTAGAAAATCGCCTCTAAAGTTGTCCATTTATGTTCGCGATTGTGCTGCATCCACACACAAAAAATATATTTTTAATATTTTTATGGTAGGAAATTTACAAAATATCTTCATGGAACATGATCTTTCCTTAATATCCTAACGAGTTTTGGCATAAAAGAAAAATCAATAATTTTGACACATACATTGTATTTTTGGCAATTAAAAGTCAGTAACAAACACATTTGTGACCCCGGACCACAAAACCAGTCACAAGGGTCAATTTTTTGAAATTGAGATTTATGCATCATCCGAAAGCTGAATAAATAAGCTTTCAATTGATGTATGGGACAATATTTGAAAATCTGGAATCTGAGGGTGCAAAAAAAAATCTAAACATTAAGAAAATCGCCTCTAAAGTTGTCCATTTATGTTGGCGATTGTTCTGCATCCACACACAAAAAGATTTTTTTTGGTAGGAAATTTACAAAATATCTTTACTTAATTTCCTAATGATTTTTGGCATAAAAGAAAAATGGATAATTTTGACCCATACAGTGAGTGTATTGTTGTTGGAAATTGCCACAAATATACCCGTGCAACTTATGACTGGTTTCGTGATCCAGGGTCACATTTGAAGGCAGTTTTTCATCTTTGTGGAGTTACACACCACACCCAGACGTAGACTAGCACATATGTCGATACTCTGGTAAACCAGGCCACGTCCACAGCACAGAGAACTGAATCCCAGCTGTGCCTCTTGGCTTGAGCTTTGAGTGTCTGGCCTGTAACCAGCGCGTTCATTAAGCCTGTCTGAGCAAGCAGACTCTGTTTGTCCAGAGACGACTGGACGTGAAAAACTGCCTCTTAAAAGCACAAGGAGAGAATCAAATCACAAAATGCAAACTGCTGGAGTTCAACAAACTGTGTGATGAAATCGATGAAAATTGACACATTTGAATAGATTGCACTGATATACAGTAGTCAACATTTAAAGTGGATCAAAACCTTTCAAAGTTATACATGAATTGTGGGAAATACTCGTTCTTGTCTTACTTTGATGACCTTTTTTGATCCACTTCAAATGTTGACTAAGATCACAGATGGCAACACACGTCTTGAACTATGAGTTATTGCCCCTGCTAGCATTGAAAACTGATTCATTTTGCAAGATTGCTTCATATTCCCGCTGTTATTTGTGATGGGAAGATCGGATCATTCCATTTTACTGGCTTGATCTCTGAAACTTTTTCGACTAAAAAACTAATCTTTATTCATTTATTTTGTTTGTTGTGAACACGTCCACGTACGCAATCTCTGATCATACTCATAATTAGGACAGAGTTATAATGCAGCCTGAGATAAGTTATGAGAAACATAAATGATTAGTTACATAAAGATCTTTGCGTTCACAAGTCATAGGTCAATTACTCAGTATTGAAGAAAAAAAAAAAAATGTATTTGCTTAAAACTAAAAGCAGTGCACTTTAGAAGCATTTTAAATTTAAATTTCAGCACTTTAAAAGCAGTGATTCTCAACCATGGGGTAATTATAAACGTAAAATATTTTAAAATAAAACAAAACAAGCATTAAAATAATAAATAATTAAAAAAAATTGTTTTTTTTATTCACCCACTCAATATTAATTTTTTTCTGTAAAGTTCAGGATCGTTTAGAAACTAACATGAGTTTGTTTAATTTTAAAAGCGAGATTTCTACACCTGGAATTAATAAAATGAATGAAATAAACAATAATAATAAAGGAATTTGTTGTAGTTAAGCCAAGATATAAAAATTTTATCAGGTAGAAAATCGTTAGGAAAAAACAAATGACTAGAAAAGTTTTGCAAAGTCATTGCTTAAAAAATAAAAAACACAAAAATATCCAGCTCTGAAAACTTCTGGAATCATGAAACATAATGTACAGAAACTAGATATTGTAGTGGACAACAGGAGTCAAAAAGGTCAAGATCCACTGGCCTAGAAGTCGGTTTAAAAACATCTTGTTCTGTTCCCGAATCTCGGTTCATTAGCTCTCAGAAAACACTCTGCGAGTCTGTCTTTTCCCTCCGGACGACTGTGTTAACTCTCCTCCGAAGCAACACATCCGAAATGCTTAGAAACACACCCAGACTTGCTAAAACCCACACTTTACACCCAACATAACCGTTTCATTTAACACACCACAGGAAGAGAAACACGATGAACCCGCTCAGAGACGTGTGTGTGCTGGCGTCAGGCTAAAGACGTGAAGACACATCCTCTTTTCCTGATTACACCAGCAACAGATCTACTGACACAGTGAAACACAGCGCTGGTCTTCAGTCGCATGACCGTGACACAGTGACTTTACCAGTCCGTTTCTCACGAGAAAGAAGCTAAAAGACAGAAGTAAACAAGCAACTCAGTGACGAGATGAACAGAGAGATCACGCATATGAGCATGTCTGCATCACGCTTTACTTTGTGTATTCGAAACAAATAAGCAAGTAAATCAAACTAAACAAAATATCAGAAGATGACCTTCACTCTGGTGTTATTTTATCAATCAAATTGATTTTGTTTTGACCAGTTGCTGATATTGAACAATTCTTTCTTCAATGCCATCAGAAAAAAATGATACACTATTTCTTTATACTCACACACAACTGGAGAGGAACTTGGGAAAGTGCCATACAGGTAATTCATATAATTTGTGTTCATGACATGAACTTTTAAAGTGCACAAGCCATTTGGGATACTTTTTTGGTATTTTTGGTCTTATATATAAATATATTAGCAATAGTGCTTAAAATATCTTGCTGTGCTTTAGCTGTGAAATAAACCCCTTGAAAGTTCACTTTAAGTCCCCCTGTGGTGAAAATCCAGCTTTTAATGTTGTTTATGTTTCTATGTTGTGTTTTTAATCTGCTTTAAGACAAACCATGTGCAAATTCATAAGTCGACAGCATTGCTGAGTATTTTCTGCTTAAAACTGCAGTGAACCAAAGACAGTCTCAAAAACACGGTTTGAAATCGCTGGTGTTTCTGACGTCACAAACGACCTTGTAACCAATCAGATCAACGTGTGATCGTCAACCAGTGGATCTCTGAGCTGAGTGAGTGAGTGGAGGCGGGGCTCATTTGCATATTCATTGAACCACGTATACTAAATGAGGCAAGGGTGTCGAGTTACATTCAAGCTAATTTAAGGCATGTAGATTTTTTTTCAAGGGAAAATATTTAAATGTCATTTAGATGATCAAAGATTAGTTTTAAGGGATACAATTATTGACTACAGGGGGACTTTAAAGTTCTCCCCTCTAATGTAAATGCCTCTTTAAAACAGGACTGATCGACATAGAAAAAACAGTCTAATTGTAAAACACACTTCCATTTAGGACTGATTAATCTACTAATCATCCAAGGAAAATTAGTCAATTTTTAAAATATGTATTTTTCCACATCGACTATTTCTTCAAAAACACCACGTTCAACAAGGTCAATCCAACAGGTAGCCACACCCACACGACGCCACGCCCCATTCACTAACCACGCCCCTCAGCAGCAGAGAGAAATAATACTGTTATCAGAAAACAAGAGTGAAGTAATACGAGTCTGTTAATAAAGTACCTCAGGTATAATTATGTCTCTCAGCTCGTCACTGAGGACTTTAATCAATACCTGACACAGGAAAACTTGTTGATAAGGAAAGTAACCGGTACCTGCCAAACAGGTACAATCCCACCCTTTGGCCCTGCCAGGATAACACTGACTGTGACACAACGCCTAGTGAGCTGCACACCTAGTACCTGTCTGCGGTAAACGAGGCATATAACATCAATCTTAAACATCAGCAAATGACACAAATTTGCAGTGCGACACTTAATATATGCAAATGTCTTGACTAGCATTTCTTATCCCCACCCATAAAACTATCACAGCAATAATAAACAGAGAATAAAATCAAGTATAACCCTGAAAATGGGTTCATACGCCTATTACAATACATCATGACAGTATTAGGAGGATATTTCAGATGCATGTGAGTGTGTTAGCATGCTAGCGCTTAGCCTACGCGCTTCACTTACGTTAAACATCAGATTTATTCACTGCGAATTGCGATTAATCTCCTAAATGTCGCTCTATCGGGAGATCTGTGGTAAATCATTGCGCCGTGACCCGGCTGGAGGTGCAGTCGATCTGACAGCAGTGGATGTGTGTTTCGTGAGTGTGTGTGTGTGTGTGTAAATACTGCAGATGAGGTCACTTCCGGTTTCACGCACAGCGACATCTTCTGGCCAACATGTGGAATTACACTATCCTGCAGTTTCTTAATGTGCCCCTCACAACATTTTCAGTCAGCTGAACCCCTTTGAGTTTCATTAATTTAATTTAATTACCTGTATTTATTTATTTAAATCACCCCGTCGTTTTCCTGATATGTTTGGTACATGCAAAACTCACTGTTATTATGCCAAGGTGTAGTTGTTGCTATTCAGTTGCTAGGGTGGACACTAGAGCATTGCTAAAATGGTTGCTAGGTAGAGAGTTTGGTTCAATTTTAGATTAGCAGCTGCACCTGCTCCTGTCACTTCAGATACACTCATACTGGACAGCAGCAGATATGACATGCACATCTTACCAGAGAGACACAGAGGGTGTAGTCGTGCTCATATCACACACACAGATCCACGATGAGTCTGTGTAATGGATGATGTCTGTGAAACGCCCTCCATTAGGGAACTGGAGAAAGTCCTGTTTGGAGGAAAGAGGAGTGGAAATCATGCGGATGAAGTCTGGCCCAACCTTTTCCTGGGTGATATGTGAGTCGCAGGGTTATTATAGTTAACTGGACATAAAACTAACAACACTTTCATTACTTTAAATGAAATAAAGAAAGCCAAACCAACATTACTCGTTTTCATTTAGTCTAAATTGCCCCCGGTTTCACAGACAAGGCTTAAGCTAGTCTCAGACTAAAATGCAAGAGCTAAAAGCTACTTGAATGTCTTAATTGAACTAAGGCCGAATTCTGGCTTAATCTAAGCCCTGTCTGTGAAACCAGGCAATTATGTACTAAAATAACTAAAACTGAAATACATGTAGACATATTAAAAAACAATAACTAATAAAAATGACAAAAACACACGAGAAATTTACTAAAACTTTACTAAAATTAAAAATAAAAATTAATTTAATATATATATATATATATATATACAGGTGAAACTCGAAAAATTAGAATATGGTGCAAAAGTTCATTTATTTCAGTAATTCAACTTAAAAGGTGAAACTAATATATTATATAGACTCATTACATGCAAAGTGAGATATTTCAAGCCTTTATTTGTTATAATTTTGATGATTATGGCTTATAACCCCAAATTCAAAATTAGAATATTGTGAAAAGGTTTTCATAATCCATAATCATCAAAATTATAACAAATAAAGGCTTGAAATATCTCACTTTGCATGTAATGAGTCTATATAATATATTTGTTTCACCTTTTAAGTTGAATTACTGAAATAAATGAACTTTTGCACGATATTCAAATTGTGTGTGTATATATATATATATATTGTGTTTGTTCTTGTATCTCAGTGAGAATTTTTGGTTTTGCACATTCAAATCCAATCCACATATAGTGCCCAAAAATCATATAATGCCCAAAAATATAAAAAAAAAAACAAAGACAGTATTTTTGGGTGAATCTCAAACAACAATTTCTCCTTTTCCGCAGTCACACCAAACGAATGTCTCCAAGTCAGTTCTACTACTTGTTCTCTCGATGAGTTCGATTTTACGGGCATCATGAATTTACCTAGAGATCTGCGTCTGACATTTTAACAGCGTGTGTTTATGACCTCCAGGTCTGTGGCCAATGACCGGTTCAGTCTGTGGAAGTCGGGCATCACTCGAGTCCTGAACGCCGCCCATGGACACATGCACTGCCAGGGCAGCCACCAGTTCTACGGGTCAAAGGTCGAGTATTACGGAGTCGCAGCAGAAGATTCGCCATCGTTCAACCTGTCGGTGTATTTCCACCCCTGCGCGGATTATATCAAGGAGGTTCTCGGTTCTCCAGGAGGTAAAACCTGCTGAGCCTCAGCTTGTGTTTACTTGAGACAGAAACATGCTGAAAATGTAGTTCTGCTGGTTGACCGAGCTAAGATGATGCAGTTGTATGCGTTACCCTGTAAAGACTACACTCTAAAAAATGCTGGGTTGTTTCAACCCAAATTTGGGTCAAATATGGACAAACCCAAATGTTGGGTTAAAAATGTAATTAAATTTTTTTACAGTTGAAAGTGAAAGTTGGGTTAAAATTTAAAATTACATTTTAAACCCAAAATTTGGGTTTGTCCATATTTGACCCAAATTTGGGTTGAAACAACCCAGCATTTTTTAGAGTGTACTGTATCATATTTGCTGTATTATTCAAGTCCGAACTCGAGACGTTTTTCTACTGTCTCGGACTTGGTCATTGGTGTCGCCAAATGTTCGAATTGGTCTCGACCGAGTCCAGCAATATATGCTTTTTTCTCCTTCAAAACAAAACGAACACACACATGAGCGTGCACACACACACACAGCGGTCGCGGTGAAGTGAAGAAGCAAGTTGACGTCAGCTAACGTTACGTTCGTTACTGTAAGTATGTACAATAAAACCTTTGTGAGTAAAAAGACAATATTAATATAAAGTAACTTTGCTGCTGTAAACTTTCATTTGTTTATTTATCGCAAGTCATCGTCATTGCAAAAAAAAACATTGTTATCGCACATCGCAGAATTTCCTCATATCGTACAACCCTATTAGAAAGGCAGTCTGTGCGCGCACACACACACACACACACACACACAGCTGAAGGCGTTCGTGTTTACTGCTAATTTATATTTTATTGCATTGCAAATGCACCTATGGTTTATTATTTGGGTTACTTTGTACTATGGATTCTTTAGGACAAGTAATAAGTTCAAAAATGGGAACATGTCCATTTTTTGTTTAACTTAATTACCGGTATGTTACATTTTTCATTGGCAGCCCAGAATGTGATTGTTACACTATAATAAAAAGCCTGAAAATGTGAAGTTGCACTTCAGCTTTATGTGACTTTAATGAAATTGCTATACCTAAAGTAAATAGAAATGGCCTAATTTGATCCTACAGCGTTGTTACTCCGCACATGCTTTTTAATCATTACTGCACATCATCAATGCAAAATGACTATCTTAGAATAGAAGATATGCTATCACATAAATGATCAATAGCTACGTACGTGGTCTTGAAGAGGATTATTTTTTTTCTGTCTCTGTTTGGACTCTGTCTTGACTTTGACTCGAACCTCTTTGGACTCGGTCTCGACTCGACAAAGGTGGACTTGACTACAGCCCTGCAACATAAGGCCTCTAAATGATCAATGCAATCATATATTTTTGCTGATTTTTATAAGCTACACACAGTTTGTGTTCTCTGGTCTTTGCTGCAGAACGTGTTTTGGTTCACTGTGCGGTGGGAGTGAGTCGCTCGGCCTCTCTGGTTCTGGCTTATCTCATGATACACCAGAGGCTTTCCCTACTGGACGCTATTAAAACAGTCAAACAGCACCGCTGGATCTTCCCGAACCGAGGCTTTCTCAAACAGCTGCGGGCTCTCGATGCGAGTCTGCGCTGTATGAAGTGACGCTGGTCTGGAAACATCATCCGTCTGAGACTTTAAATGTATTATCAACTCTCAGCACTGATAAAAAATGACTCTGTGGTGAAGGAAACACTGCAGAAAAAAACCTCTACCTGAATACGTTTTTAACCCAGGCAAGAATTTACAAAACAAAGTATATTCTATATTAGTAAGTTTGTAGAAATTAATGCATAAATATCAACGTTAAACCTACTCAACTTTCTGATACTGGTATTCCCATCATGAATAATTAATAAGATTGCTTTTTTCTCCACTGTTTTCCAGCTGTATGTACACTGTTTTATCATTGCTTTTGTTTAGTAACTTGCTGTTTTGTGACATCTGGAGTTTATTTTCTACTTAAAATGACATTCACACTCAAATTATCTGACGGATGTTAGCATTATTGTGTAGCAAGTATTCATTTCTCTGTGTTTGTGTAGATATGTTGTCTACACTAGATATGTTATTTACTTGTTCTATGTCTAGATGTTCTAATCTAAGTAAAGCATACACTGTAAAAACATGGCTTTATTCAGTGTTATATTGTCAGAGTAAAATGTGCTTGAAACAGCGTATTGCTAAGTAGAAATTACTCAACAAACTTTAACTGGCCAGTTTTCATTTGTTAATTTTACTTAACTTCATTAAGTAGATTTTAACTTTAAAAATCTGCATGTAAAAACTTGCAAAAGAAAAGTACATTTGACATTGTTTTTTTTCCAGTGAGTTTTTAGAAGTAAAATCTAATAAATTACTTTAGAATTTTTGATTAAGTGATTTATTTTATATTTAACAATACATGTACTTTTAGTGTACAATATTTTTGTAAGTATAATTTAATGTGAAAAACAATAAAAGGTCCCTAAAAGTTTTAAATTATTTAATTAATTTAATTTAAATTATAATAATTATTTGTTTAGTTTTGTATTTTGGGGTGTTTTTGTTATATTTGCCCACAGCTGTCAGTTTTATTTATTTAATTCTATTTTTTATTTTATTTATTTTTTTACCTGGCAAATCTGAATAGCAGCCTATGCTTTTCCTTCACTCAATAATAATTCAATAAAAATTCTGTCATCATTTACTGTCGTTCCAAACCCGTGTGTTGGTATTTTATCTGTGGGAAACAACAGAAGTTGATCTGTAAATCTTCATGCTGTTTATAATGTCTGTTAATTTCCGAAAAGATCTTACAGTACAGGTGAAACTCGAAAAATTTGAATATCGTGCAAAAGTTCATTTATTTCTGTAATTCAACTTAAAAGGTGAAACTAATATATTATATAGACTCATTACATGCAAAGTGAGATATTTCAAGCCTTTATTTGTTAGAATTTTGATGATTATGGCTTACAGCTTATGAAAACCTATGAAATCTTATGAAAACATATGAAAATTCAAAATTAGAATAGGTTTTAATAGCTGTCCAAACCATAATCAAAATTCTAACAAATAAAGGCTTGAAATATCTCACTTTGCATGTAATGAGTCTATATAATATATTAGTTTCACCTTTTAAGTTGAATTACTGAAATAAATGAACTTTTGCACAATATTCTAATTTTTCGGGTTTCACCTGTGTATGATTTCCAATGCACCAGTTTTTAAATCTGAATGCAAATGTGAAAAAGATTTCTGACCTTTAGTAAAAGATTATCACTGAACAATTATTTAAATTATAGACACTTTATGGTCCTTTAAATGCAGTTTTAAATGCATTTTTGGAGCTTGGCAGATGTGGTGACTATAAATTATGAACAAAAAAGGCATAAGCATCAGATAATCAGGTTATCCTGAATACCTTTGCCTGTTAGTCAATTAGCGGAGTGTGTGTACATGTGTGTGTACATGTCTCTGTGAGTAAGACTATCTGCACACTAAGGCACTAAATTGGGTAACAGCTGTTGTGGCGGATCAGTCAGAGAGCCTCGAGTCCGAAGCGCCGGATCATTATAAACACACCGTCTTTCATCTATCTGGCGGGTAATTCAGGAAAGAAATGATGGCCTGTAAATACAGCAGGAAAGAGTATCTGTCAGTCAAGGACCTGGAGAAAGTTTTGAACTCGTGTAAGTTAAACTTGCACCAAATCGATGAGGTCTGGCCAAACCTGTATATCGGGAATGTGTGAGTATAAGCTGCTTAACTCCTGAATCTCTCGAGTCTCTAGAAATCATATTAATACTGTTTTAAATGTGACTGTTTTATCAAGCTGACTTCACATGACATTGAGCTACACATTGAGATGTACGTTTATACAGTAGTGGTCAAAACTGTTGTTGTTTGTTTTTAATCCTACAAAGACCCTACAAAGTTCAATTAAACTATCAAAATATGAGGATATTTTTGTTTTAAATGTTTTTAAGGGAAGAACAAAACACTAAACTTGGTTAAGGTATTTATCTGAAAAATGATTTGGCAAAAAAGTCGAACTACAGCTACAGATTTTATTTTACTATACAAAAATAAAAATAAAAATAATAATTGCCGAAAAACAAGAAGCTGAAAGCACACATTGACTACAACATTATCAGTTGTTAATATTTTGTTCTTTTTTTTGTGTATGTGTTCATATGACAGCCTGGCTAAAAATTGTTGCACAATTTGCATTTGATCACAAATAAAACAAATCGACTCCAAGCACAACTGCACAATATGCTTACAAATTCTTTAACGCATTTTTACTTATATTTGAATAAAGAGTGAAGATGTCAATTTTCCTATAGGCCGTACATCACTTTTGGCCACTACTATATATCATTCTTCATACTTCCATGATATATACAATATCAATCTTGAACTGAACTGTTTAGGTCAACTTCAAACTACGTTCCCCAAAATATTTTTCATCCATAAACTGATGCATTTCTGAGTAATAAAGGATATTCAACCAGGTAAAATAAGGCGGGACTTAAATTTGTCCATCGGCTGTTGATTGGATGTTGAAAAATGGCTGTTTTATACTAGAATGAAGGTGAAATATGGTTGAACTCTTCCTTACATTCTTAAAAAATTAAGATTCTTTATTAATATCGATGGTTACATGAAGAACCTTTAACATCTGCGGACCCTTTTCATTCCACAAAAGGTTCTATATAAAAATCATATAAATCTATATAAGATTATAGATATTAGTATAGGATTGGAAATAAGTCTTTGGGCTTTATTGTGTCATCTCTAACTATTTATGTATTTTTAATGTATGACACAGAGTACTGTTTCATATTTTTTTAGGGCTGTCAAACGATTAATCACGATTATCCAAAATAAAAGTTTGTGTTTACATAATATATGTGTGTGTACTGTGTATAATTATTTTTAATACATAAATACTCACACATGCATGTGTATTTAAGAAATATTTGCATGTATATAGACTGAATGTAGCCTATATATAATGTATATTTCATATAAATATAAACATTTTATATATAAATAACATATTTTTCTTAAATATATACGTGTGTGCATTTATATATAAATAATTATACACAGAACACACACATATATTATGCTAACACAAACTTTTATTTTGGATGTGATTAATCGTGATTAATCGTTTGACAGCCCTAATTTTTTTATATTTAAGTGGTCAAATAAAATCAATCAATCAATCAATCAAGCCCTAATTTTTTTATATTTAAGTGGTCAAATAAAATCAATCAATCAATCAATCAATCAATCAATCAATCAATATCTATATAGTGATTCTTTAGATTATTCAAATGTTCTTCACACTAAGTAAAAATCACTGAAAGGTTCTTTGAGGAACAAAAAATGGTATTGCTGCAAAAAAAAAAACTAGTTAAGAGAGTAAAGAAAGTAAACCAGGTCAATTTCGATTTTGATTCTGCAGTTTTAAGCTTGTGTCACTTCCAATGATGCATGTATCATCTTGTCCTATCAGAGGAATAGCGCAGAACCGAAGCGCCCTGCAGAACCTCGGCATCACTCATATTCTGAACGCCGCTCACTCCAAGAGAGGAAGCATCGGGGACCAGAACTACTACGGCACGAGTGTTGTGTACTGCGGTATCCCCGCTGACGACTCTACGCACTTCGATCTGGATGTTTACTTCAAACCGGCAGCAGATTTCATTCACAAAGCTCTCAACTCTCCTGATGGTAAGGATTCACTCAAGGCCCTTGCACAGTCCGAAATTCGCTTCCAAAATTTTCGCACGTTAAAAAATAAATACGACCTCACGTTATGTCAATCATTGCATTCACTTGAGGAAAAAAACTCTGTTCACTCTGTTTTTTCTGAATTAACGAGATAATTATCTCAGAATTACGAGATAATTTTTCATGGAAAAAAAGTTTTTGCTCTGTTTTTCTGAATTAACGAGTTAATATCTCAGAATTACGAGATCTTTTTTCATGAAAAAAAAAGTTTTTGCTCTGTTTTTCTGAATTAACGAGTTAATTATCTCAAAATTACGAGATATTTTTTCATGAAAAAAAAGTTTTTGCTCTGTTTTTCTGAATTAACGAGTTAATATCTCAGAATTATGAGATAATTTTTCATGGAAAAAAGTTTTTGCTCTGTTTTTCTGAATTAACGAGTTAATATCTCAGAATTATGAGAAAATTTTTCATGGAAAAAAGTTTTTGCTCTGTTTTTCTGAATGAACGAGTTAATTATCTCAAAATTACGAGATATTTTTTCATGAAAAAAAAGTTTTTGCTCTGTTTTTCTGAATTAACGAGTTAATATCTCAGAATTATGAGATACAATTTTCTTGAAAAACATTTTTTTCACTCTGTTTTTATGAATTAAAAAACTTTTTTCCATGAAAAATTATCTCGTAATTCTGAGATAATTAACTCGTTAATTCAGAAAAACAGAGTAGATTTTTTGCTCAAGTGAATGCAATACGCTTCCGTACAATCACGCTTGCACACTGAGTCCGAAATTTTCGTATGCGTTTTTTCGTATTCATGATTCGGTGGCTCTGAATTGTCAAAACACCATTCAAACCGCTTGCTACGGATGCGAAAAAGGCAGAAAATCGAACCCAATCCGTTTTTTATGACGGGCGAAAGTTTCGGAGGCAGTGTGCAAGCGTGATTGACAACGTGAGGTCGTATTTATTTTTTAACGTGCGAAAATTTTTGAAGCGAATTTGGTGTGTTTAAAATCAACATCAAACCTAATTACTTTCTAAACACGTGTACCTGGACTTACTGTGTGTTATTAATCAGTGCATGTTATTCTGTCTTTATAATCTTTCATATATGTATGTAACTTGCTCCGCCTCTGTAAAAACTTTTGTTTTCAGGTGACGTCATGTAGGTTATACTTGTTAACCAATACACAAATATCTAGTAAGGCATTCGGCAGCTTCTGTAGCTGATGCAGCCTGTCTAAAATTGTGCTGAATACGCCAACAATATCAAATAATGATTTTTTACAAAAATGAATGGA